TTTAATAGAAATGAAACACGACAGTGCATCCTTTTTTTATGTAATAAGTCGGCAAACGAGCAGACGGATTACCTGATGGTAAGCAATCAACGCCGCCCATTGACACTCGCAACGGAGGAGGTACGAGTGCGTTGCCGACCTTTTAGGGATTAGGGATTTGGAGATTTAGGGATTGGGGAAGGGTCCGGGAAGGGGAAGGATTGGGCCTCCGGTAACCTCACTCACAACCTCTCACGAAACACAACGCTGTGGTTGTTTCACGACGGTTTTCTGTGAGGCCGTGGTATCACTCCGGTCGAGCCGACCCATTCGTGCCGAAGCATGGCTCTCCCACACTTAATGTATAATCCTATGTAAGTCGCACTAACCACGCGACCAAAGAGACATTAAAAACTTTTTTTTCTTTTTCAGTGACTGGATATTTCGTCATAGTTACGAACAGTTTAAGAATGTCTTTACTATATTTATCTAGCAATGACATCGTGATTTGAAAAGTGTGATCGTCTTGTAAATAAAGTTTTTAAACATTTTTCTCTTTTCATTCACATTAATTTTATATGCCAAAGATATAAGATCTATTTTCAAAAATTGTACCACTTATCTAGTTTACTCTTGGATAGTTAATGTAGTTCCTGACAGCGGTACATCGTATCGGCATATACAGGCGTCAACCATCCATGTTCCCTCACTGGCATCATTTAATGGAACAAGCTCGCAATCTCCTACCAAATCCGCTGCATCTTTTGTAGACCAGCACCTACACTAGACGCAATGAAAACACCGAAATACTGAAGTCCAGCGCAACCCAACGAAATGACCGTCATGAATCCCGCAACTAACTCCCGGTTTCCGAAAGGCCGATCAATTTTAAAATGAACTTAATCTCTTGTCAAGTCATCTGATTGGTTGACTGAATTATCAAGAACCAATAAGATGACTTGACAAGAGATTTAACAGGAGATTAGTTAATTTTAGCGTTGACAAGCCTTTCAGAAACCGGGTGTAAGTAAAACAATTTTTTTTTAAAGAAAAATATTTATTTATATAAGGTTTTCCACAAGCATTTGTCTACCTACAAGGTGTACTTAACGCCACAGACTGTCTGAGAGAGGAATTACCAGAAGGTACAAGAAGCAAGTAAATTCGAGATACCATATATTTATACCACATTCCGCCCGCGTGGTTTTGTTGTTTAAAAGTAGCCCATGTTCTATTCTGGAGTGTATCCTATGTCTGTGTCATATTTCATCTAGATCAGCTCAGCCGTTTTTGAGTAACAAACATCCAAACATCGTAACTTTCGTTTTAATAATATTAGTAAAAAGTAGATATATATCGGAAATATACTTACACATAATATTTACATGAGCTAACTAAAACTAAAATATCATCCCTGATCATTTTTGCGGGGACGAAATGTTTGCTTGAACTTCAAGTGACTTCTTTCTACTTCCCTAGTTGAATTTCATTGAAGATTAATATACAATTATATTAAAACCTTATTCTGAGTTCACTTCTTGGATTGTCTGTATCTGTGGTCTATCTGTCATGGCGGCTGTTTGACAAGAACCATCAAAATTAAAGCAGTGAAAATAAATCATAATCGTATTTTTATATCGTAAATTAATATAATATTTTTTAACGTAATGCCGTGACAATATCGCAATCATGTGTGAAATATTCCCAGAAGTGCAAACATGTTTTACTATATTATCAATTCGACTCGGAATGCTGTTTATAGCAATTCTGTCCATAGTAAGTAGACTATGTTTTTCAAAGAAAAATACGAATAAATATAAAAAAAATATAACAAAATTCAAGTGTTGTGTGTGTTGAATCAATAATTTAAATGAAAACAATGATCGTGCAGATATTTGTCGTTGTAGGAAGATTAATATACAATTTTCTTTTAAAAGTAATCTATATGAGGCGAAATATTAGACACCATTAGTAGCCAATCACAATGATAATGTTACAGTAAGTTGAATTTTACGATCGCACTACTTTTGGTGTTTTGTTACTCTTTCGTTTAGATAAATTATATTCTTAAAATCCTATAACTAGCTTGACTGGGAGACAAAATTGATGGACCGATTATTAGACACTGTAGTCAGGTTGGGTTGGGTCGGTTACAGTGCAAAATTATGTAACGCGACATAAACTTTAATAAAATGTACAAGACATACGCGCACAAAACTATAAAGTTCGCCATAACTCATCTAACTCTGTGTCGGCCAATCAGTGGCCAGAAACATAACGCAACACGGCGCGTCATTTAAAATTCTATCGCATTGGCGAATAGCGGTCGGGCGGCTATTGGACCGCTCACGAGCAGGGCTGCGACGTTCGGAAACGTTATCCGCTATAACACTTGACAAGTAAACACGTCCATCCTTTTCTTTTGGGGAAAATCATCAAATGACTTCTCCTACCCAGTTAAGGCGAGAGAGTGTGTCGGACTCTTACTGACTAAAAACCCGCCCGTTCCTTCTCCTGCTGTGGGCCGAGGCTGCGGTGACTCATTGCGCTTAACCCGCAACCCCGGCTGAACATCAGCCTTATTGGGCCCCGTCTGTGGTGATCTATTGGCTTTTTTAGGCGCGCGCGGAACGCTACGCGCCGTACGCTCACCTCACCAAAGGGTCGGAAAAGCAATCGTAATTACCCAGATATCCTTTAAAAAAACCTTTTTCAGGCGACGGGTGCAATTACTCTCGGTGTGACAGAAAAAGCAGCAAATTATGGCATGAACAAAGTGGTATCAGTATATAATAATGTCACAAATATTACAAGTAAGTACAACTTATACTTTTTTATGACCAGGAACACGGGATTAATGCGGGGTTTCCGAAAGCCCGATCAATGTTAAAATCAACTAACTAGGTGTCAAGTCATCTGATTGGTTGTTGATAATTCAGTCAACCAATCAGATGACTTGACAAGTGATTAAATTGATTTTAACATTGATCGGCCTTTCGGAAACCGGGTGTAAGACTAGAGACAGTCCCTACACTGTGTAGTCTTTTTTAATTCACTAAAGCCCTGCTAGTCACCATCAACAACACTATATTTTTTTCTGAGGGTACAATCATCAAATGTCTTCTCTCGCCCAGGGTGAGGGAAGAGATAGTATTAGTTTCTTACTGACTAAAACCCACCCCGTTCCTTCACCTGCACCAGGCCGATGTCGCAGTACCTTTTTGTGCTTGCCCTACAACTCCAACTGAACATCCACTCTGTTGGGCCGCATGTGTCGCGGCTAATGTCTGCGATGGTCTAATGACTGTTTGTATGCTTGGGTCTGCTTCTGGTCAGTCAACAATCCTCAGAGGGCACCAGGTCCTCTTAATAGACTTACTCCGGGTCCTACTACTGTCCATCTATAACCCTAAGGAAACCTAACATTTTCTAGGCTTAACTCGACCTAAACACGTTCTACAACTCACCGTAGATTGGACAATAACATGCAAAATTTTTGCTAAAAATTATGGCGACCTGTCTCTTAGGAAAAAGGGTTTTAATGGTGATCTTTTTGTGAGAGCCTAATTATGTGGATAGACACAGGGTTTTGTGTCAAATACTCGTCTGCACACCTGGTTGATATTGCATATCTTTACAACTTAAATACTTACGTACTACTAAAGTGAAGCATAAAAGACCAAATATCAAAAAGACCACCAGGTCAGTAGGTCTGCTCGTTTGCCGACTGGTAGCATAAAAAACTCTTTAAATATCAACAACTGCCAAGCAACATATAAAAGGAACAAAAAAAAACTTTTAGATCACATATCTCATATATTAGTAGTACGGTTGTCGATGTTTAATGTCATAACGCCGCTCGACCAGAACCAGAACCGAGCATATAGTACGTCGCGTTCCGCGCGTGCCTCTAAAAGTCATTAGACCACTGCAAACGGGGCACAGTAAGGCCGACGTCTAGCAGAGAATGTGGGTGCAAGCTCAATTATATATTGCGACCCCGGCCCAGAGCAGGATAAGTAACGGAATGGTTTTTAGTCTGTAAGAGTCCTCCCTGTTGCTTCACCCAATGCCTAAGAACCACTTGTTAACTTTGCCTTCTTAAAAAAAAATGTTAACAGGATACTTTTCTGTCAGTTTTCGGGGATACACTTAAGTCCTTAAGGAGCCCTGTGATGACCAAATGCTACATGCGTTGTAATCACAGATAACTCAAGTTGCATAAATGGGTTTTGAATTCTTATTTACTTCCCTTATACATTAAATCCTTCTCTCTCTTCGCTTGTGCTCGAACCTGCACCATCCAACGGGACAACAAGATTTTTCAAAACTTATTATGCTCATTGCTGCTAGATATGACTGCCCTTTACAAACACATTGGATAAGGGTAGTTAATGGAATACAATACTAACATTAATTGTAAATTAATATTGTTAGTAACCCATTAACCAAATATGGGTATTTGTCTGAAATAAACGTTATTCTATTCTAGTCTATTCTATTATGTTTGTCTTTGACATTTATCAATGAACCGCATAATCTAGACTGGAAATAAAAGTACCGGAACAAAAACTAACAATATCGCTGCTGTTTCAGAACCGGAAGAAGCTCTTTCAGGGTTGTCCGGTATAGTAACAACGTCGATATGTGCAATGTCCCTGATTTTTATGATGGCTGGTGTGTGTCTTCTGATCTCAACTTTCGTGGTTAGTATGGTTTATAAAAGTAAAAGTCGTGTATCAATGGCAGTAATGTCTATTTGTTTCCTGCCACCTTTATTTTTACCACAGATGTAGTAGGAACTACTGAGGATATCTTGGCTAGGTAACACAAGGCATCAGTTTCAAGCCTAAACTGAATTGTCCAAACCGCTAAGCATTAGAGATTATGACGAATTAAGACCCATAAACAACAATGACCCATAAACATAATCAGAATTGCATCATCACTACATAGTATAACACAAAAAAGTACCAAAACGAGGAAAGGACTAAGTGTGGGAGAGCCAAGCTTCGGCACGAATGGGTCGGCTCGACCGGAGTGATACCACGGCCTCACAGAATACCAGCGTGAAACAACCCACAGCGTTGTGTTTCGCCGCGTGAGTGAGGTTACCGGAGGCCCAATCCCTCCTCTTCCCCTATCCCTTCCCGATCCTTATATCCGCAACCCCTATCCCTAAAAGGTCGGCAACGCACTCGTGACTCCTTTGGTGTTGCGCGTGTCCCAGGGCACCGCCGATTGCTTACCATCAGGTAATCCGTCTGTTCTTTTGCCGACTTATACCATAAAAAAGACCTAATATTGAGCCCTGTGGTACACCTATAGATAAACTACCTTTCAATACCCGGTCAGTTTATTTATTTACGTACATTCTATTGTGGACGTTTCACAAAACACCAAAAATAATAAAAACGCCTGTTATATCAACATCTGAACCACTATTTATGTATATTTGTGATGGAATCAATATCAATAGCCCGTACCAGTCTTCTGCCTGACCATGGGTCTCCTCGACATATAAGGGTTTGCCGCAACCTCCAAAAATCTCCACTTTTTAACAGGCCGGTAACAGATCGCAGTTCAAAAGGTTTACAATCGAAACAAAATATATTTTTCAGAGCCGGCAGCTGTGCACCCTGCTGAGAAATTCTGTCAATGGCTTCTCTCGTCAAACTTAATCTCACTCAACCCAGGGCAGGAAAAGTAGTTGTATACTTTTCACCAAAAAAAAAGTGTTGCCTTTTTTTGTTGACTCGTCACGACACCTCCGTTAATAGCACGGATTATTATCAAATCAATGAGATTCATTATGTTTCAGGACCAAGAAGGGTATGCACAGGCGTTTATATGGCTAATAATGTTGAATATCCTTATTGGATTACTTTTAATACTTGCGATAACTTGTGAGTGCCTAACGAGATCAAAATGCTATCTCGGTGATATGGACTGGCTATCCGGAGCTATGATACTAATCACCATAGTGTTCTATTTAATATGTAAGTCATTAAATTATTTAAACTTGTTTTACCGTCATCATACTCCAATTTTTTGTCCAAAGTTGTAAGTCATCGACATATCCAAAAATTCGGTGGACATATAACACTTATAGGACTTAGTCTTACTACTCCTCTTAATTCAGTAGGTACCGTAAAAGGTATCCAAATTTTAAGCATCCAATAAAGACGAGGCTTACATTTTGTTTTATAACCTTTTGGTACAGACAGGTCTATATAGTAAAGTGTCATTCCTAATAGAAAGCAGTTTACGTCTCTTTGTTTCATAGTCAAATTATTTCTGGTACCCTTTTCTCGCGTTAAGCGCAATGAGGCACCGCGTCCTCGGCCCAGAGCAGGAGAAGGAACAGGGGGGTTTTAGTCAGTAAGAGTCTGACACTCCCTCCCTCCCGGCCCTGGGCGGGAGAAGTTATTAATGATTTTCCCCTCACAAAAATAAAACCTTTTCTCGCAAGCAAACAAAATTATTCTATAACCCCAATTTTTTTACTGCACGCTCGGCATGGTGGCTGGGCAACTGGCTGCTGTGCAACTTGTCGCGGGTTCAATTCCCACACAAAACAACACAAATTTTTGCTTCGAGTTTAGGTGGCTTGTGTATGTTTGTAAACGCACCCACGACACAGGAGAGAATCCTAGTGATACCACGGATCCCATAATCATACACACATTATGATTTTTTCATGTGTCGTGGGTGCGTTTATTTAAAAAAAGCTTACATTAAAATATCTATGCATAAATTTGATTTTATTTGATTCAGGAAACAGACACTAGTCTTAAAAAGAACTGAACTTTGGATCATTGTTTCATAAACAAAAAATATATCTTAATTAGTATAGTTTACTATATTATACTGTTTTTTTTCCAGTGTGGTACTACTTCGCCTGCGTCGCAAACACATACGTTTTAAACAGGAACACATAATATTCAAGATCCGATCTAACATCATCCTTCTATCATAATAAATATGAATGAAAATATGTAATAATATCCTTTATGTTCAGAGTCATTAAGTTAACTTTTCTGTTTAACATTCATCTTTCTTTAGGACTTTTTGTAATGTGGTTATACCAATTGATATTAACGGTCGGTCAACTATCATTGGTTGAGATAAAATTAACGTAACTATCGTCTTATTACTAAAGTACAGGTACAAAATTTATTGGAAAAAGCGACTTACTGACGTGATTTAACTGAGAAAAGCTCTACTAGTTTCAAGTCACAGCGGGACTCTTATTCATGAGCAGCGCGCGCGTCACTCATCAACTACTGTCGTTTCATTCACTTGATTGTTGCTTGATTTTTCAATAGTCAGACAAATGTTATCTGAGGAATCAAATACGGTAGTTTCCAACTAGTCAAAATTCAATACTTTTATCGAAATGTCAAAAACGATAATTTTCTATGAAATAGCACGTTGTGACGTCATAATTGTTTAACGTCAAATAGTATACTTATTTCTCTTGAATTTACAATAAAAATACGAATATCAAATACATATATCGTAAAATAATGAATGAAGGTATGATTGTTTATCAGTACTTTTATAGTTTTATAAGTTGAAATAATTTCTATTTGATTGAGGATACAGGCCAATTGTTGTTGTCACTGTTTTTCACAAACATTCTGACGCGACTTCATCATAATTATTCCCCACATAACTTTTATGTAACCGTTGAAAAATCAACCCTTATTCGTTATTTTCAATAAATTTATTTTTTATGTTAGTTATTATAAAAAATACAGATCCTTATTGTTGTTACATGATAAATGTTCCTATATTTAGAATTTCGTCGTTTTAAGTTTAGTGTTTTTCATTCATATTATATTATGATTGCACGTTAATGTTAGATCGGATCAGAAACCCTGACAGCATCTCGCATCAATAAACTTTAAAAGACATTTTTGATTTTGTTCTTTTTGTATTGTGTAAAATAATATATTGTTTTATTTTTTGGTTGTTGGTTTATCTTCATTTAAATAGCATTTAATATTTTGTTTATTGTACTATGGTGTTGGCACATGAGCGCGCGGGTTCAAAACCTGGAAGTATCAATGGTACAATGCTAAGTATTACGTCCCATTTAATTTCTTTAGGCACCACTGACAAACAGAAATTTAAAATAAAATTTTGCCTTGAATAAACTTAGTGATTGATGCTCAAACCTTCTCCATGTCAAAAGGGGTCACTTATTTATTTATTTATATATTTAAAAATCTTACCTAATACTACCATTACAGTATTCTCCAATGCGATAGCTTAGGCCTATAACTGCACATACCCACCTATAGTACAACATAACTTGGTACTCAATCATTAAAAAAACCTAACATTAATCTATAAAAGTAATTGAGATAATAATGTCGACACTATGTTCACGAGATCAGCAGTGCAATACTTACTAAATAACAATATTAAAAAAAAGAAATAATACAGTAATCTTAATTAACATTTGATAAACATAATATATACAACGTGATTTTTACGAATTCACCCACTTTGCAATACAATACATCAACCCTTTCATGAACTTTGTTCACTACATTTATGGCTCTAGTGAGAGGAGCCCTTGCCAGTAAGTTGGTTCTGGCCGCCGGCACAGCGAGGAGAGGCGTCTCCACCTCCACACATATCAGTCTGGCACACATAGACTGATGATGTGATACAATAAGCCGGCAAACGGACCATCTGTTGTGATAAGCATAAGGTGCGGCTCTTGGACACTCACAACAACAGAAGTATATGTCGAAGTTTTTGGTGGGGATTGAGCCTCAGATTCCCTCACTCATAGTGGAGCACAACAAATATGTTACCAATACTCGTGGTATTCGCTCCAGCGTGTAGCAGGCGACAGAATAGATTCCTTAATAGACAAAAATGACCTTGATGGAAGATTTTTTATGTCATAGTTCGGCAAACGAGCAGACGCATTATCTGATGGTAAGCAATCGCCGCCACCCATGGACACTCACAATACCGAAGGAGTTGTTAGGGATTTACGGATAGGAGATTTGAGGATGGAGAGTTTTTTGAAATAATTAAACCTATTATAGTTTAATTGGAATAATGGCACTCTTGGCGCCGGAAATTGAGCAACAATCTCCGGCCACCTTAAGCTCGGGTCTGTGGACGGCGAGTAAGGCTAGCTCGCCACCCGAACATAACTAGACTCGAGCGAACGGCACATAGCGCCTCAACAGAGTCGATGTTAAACAGAGTCGATGTTCATCCGAGGTTGTGGGGCAAGTGCAATAAGGTACCGCAGGCTCGGTGGGGAGCAGGAAGAGGAACACGGTAGTTATTAGTAGCCTGCAGCCCAACCAGAACCAGACTCGAACGTACCTACAGAGCACGGAGCAATCAAACCGCCACAAATCAGGCCCTCAAGGATCGATGTGGACTGCACGGTTGGCGCGGCGGCTAGGCACCTGGCTACCGCGAAACGTGTCGCGGTTGGATTCCCGCACGGAACAACTCTTTGTGTGACCCAATAACTGTTGTTCTGGATGTGGTGTGTGTACGCGAAATTGTATGTTTGTTAACGCATCCACGACACAGGAGAAAATCCTAGTGTCGGGCAAGCTAGAAAAAAATCGACAGTGATCGATATAAATAAGTAAATCCCTTTGCAGATGTACTTCTTTAATCACTAATTATAATATAAGTTTTACAATAATTGAGTGTGTTTTCGTCGCGACTATTAGAATGGCAGTGGCCGGAAGGCGCGCAGCTCGAACCTCTCGCTCGCGCTACGGATGCGTTCCATACACGACAAAGAATGATGCGTTCCGGCGTAGACAGACAGCAAGCACAACGCAATGATTTATACTGTGACATGTCTCTGGGCAGGAAAAAGGAACACGTTTTAGGTAATTAGGAAAAAACCTAAACGGTGGGAGAAACGATAAGATGACTTCGGGTATTCACAATAAAGATTATTTTTCAAAACTCTTTAATTTTTTTCGTAAACAACTTTGTGTTTGATTCAAACATTGGTTCTAGCAGATGGTATCTGCATTTTTCAGTTCTCTGCTGAAATGCGTGTTGTAGTAACAAACTCACAACAAATATTCAGAGTTCCTCAGATACAGAAACAATACTTATGTATATCAAAAAAGTATTTCTTTTTTTTATTTCAAGTCTAATAAAGAAGTTAGGGGCAATATTCTCGAAGTACAATAATGGGTTCTCTGTCTTCCACATTAAATATGACAGTCCCTTGCTCGAGCATCATATTTGCCTCCTCCACACAAGAGTGGTTCATCATATTCTCGAAGCTTGCTAGGCGGGTGGGAGCTCGCAGTTCACTAAAGAGATTCCAAGTTTATTAGAGAGTGTGGGAGAGTCATACTTCATAAGGATAGGGAATTTGATGATGGAAGGGGGGGGGTGAGGGGCAGGCGAGTAAGGGTAACTCGCCTCCCGACCAGAACCAGGCCCGAGCGTACGGCGCGTAGCGTTCCGCGCGCGCCTCAAAGAGCTAATAGACCACCACAGACGGGGCCCTATAGGGCTGATGTTCAGCCGGGGTTGCGGGGTAAGCGCAATGAGTCACCGCGACCTCGGCCCAGAGCAATAAAATGAACGATCCGCCCACCCCATTCTGGAGAAATCATATGATAAAAAAACGGCGCGATGCATCTCGCAGTGTAGCACTGACCTCTTCGAATACGATCGCTTCGCCGTCGCATCGCATCTCAGTGTGATCTCACCCCAAGACTTAAGTTTGATGATTTTTAGACAACAAACAAACAACTTGTGTCTCAATTCTTAACTTGTGACTATTTAAACGTGTGTACGTGTTGTGAGTGATTACTTAAAGTGTAATTTCATTGGTTTCGTGTACAATGTAAGTGTAATTTCCATTCTTGTACCAAAATTCTATATTATTTTAAAATTGGGAGGGAGTGTCAGACTCTTACTGACTAAAAACCTCCCCGTTCCTTTTCCCACTCTTAGCCGAGGGCACGGCGCCCGCAACCCCGGTTGAACATTGGCCCTATGGGGCCCCGTCTGTAGTGTCTGTTGGCTCTTTGATGCGCGCGGAAAGCTAAGCGCCTTACGCTCGGCATAGGGTCTTAACGTGAAGTTGGTTTTGCAGAAATTTGGTAACGCCACATACTTATGCAGCACAACATATTGATTTCCAACTAATACTAATTCTAGCAACAGATTGCAAACTAAATTTGGCTGCTAGGTTGGCGCGGGACCAATTCTTTGTGCGAGTTCAGGTTGTAGTTCCAGGTTTGACTGTCGTGTGTATGTATATGTAAAATTGTACTGTCTTTGCAAATGCATTCACGACACAGGCGATAATCCTAGAGGATTATCTATCTCTGTCTCCTGTCTCTCTCCCTCCCAGGACCAAACATTCTCATTCAACTTTAAGAGTGATAGCCACTAAACTTACAAGCTAATCTGTACCATTTTAAGTAATAATTTGAGTGTTTTTCTGTTTTGCTTTAAAATGTTACCTTACAGTATGTCAGTGGTGTCTAGATAGTCATAGAAAGTACTTATAACTCGGAAAAATTCACATTGGTACTTGCCAGGTTTTAAGCCACCCTCATGCATGAGAAGTGGGCGCCTTACCTCCGGGCCACCACGACATACTACGGATATATTTGTTACATGTGCAGGTTTTAATCTGTTTTGATTGTTCATAGGGCTAACAACGAAGAACTAAAGAGACAGAGCGAGACAACTTGTATAGCTCTTTCTCTTACCCACACTGAAGAAAATTATAACAACCTTACTTTGAATATAATAGTTACCCCCATATGTTTTGTTAACCCTCTAAAACAGGCTATTACATTACACCAGGATAAAAAACAAAGTGTAGATTATTTTTCCTGTAATAAAAAAACAAATACACCGAAGAAGTGGATGTGATGTGTGTCTGATGTAAAAAACCAGTTTAGATAATAAACCAAATTGTACGTCATCCCTCGAGACTTCTTCACTTTCGAGGATTAATTATCGTAATGTTCACTACCTTGTTTTAAACGACACACAGTACCATCTATCACAGAGCTGGTATGAACGTATACAATATTTTTCCGAGACAAAAAGAACCCTATTATTTATTCCGGACTTCAACTTTATGGTTGCAAAATTCCAAAGCAATCAAAAACTAATATCCCCCAATACCTCCTCAACCCCTAAATCCAAATCCCTAATCCCTAAAAGGTCGGCAACGCACTCATTACTCCTCCGTGTTGGGTGTCCATGGGCGGCGCTGATTGCTTACCATCAGGTAATCCGCCCGCTCGCTTGACGACCTATTACATAAAAAAAATTGAGTGCAATAATTTTACGAATTTCCATTGTTTCAGGTTCGTAATATATCTGATTTTATTCTTGGCCACACTCGAGGACCTCCACTACCCAGATTGTGTTGGACTATGTGACTACAACTACTACAACCGACCAACAACAACCAAACGACGCACGAAACCACGACCCACCTTACCACGACATACGCCTCCGCCACCCAAAAGTCCAGTAAAAGAATTTCACAAGAAAATCAAATGGGAAACACCAATAGACCCATGGCTCCCACCAATTAAAGACAATGTACCAGACTCTAAATACTGCCGTCCCTTTGATAATGTCGTAATTTTTATGATTAATATAGATAATTATTTTGGTTCTAAAACTCGATATGTATTCCTAACCACAGGAACTTTCGTAAGCTCAACTAGAGTGATCACTTCATTTAATCCTTTTAAAAAAATATTAAAGAGTGCATATATATCGTCTAACTTGTTAGTGCTTTCTGTGCATTACATAAAACAGAAAGCACAATGGAAACGTTCTAAGATCGCACCACGTACCGATAAAATTAAATGCGGCCGTCAAGTAATACCCTTAGCGAATGATGCTGATGGGGTTTATCTGGATAAAGCAAAAATGTATTCCCCACTTCATGATTTAATGGTGTTCAGAATAGATGAACCTAAAAAATTCGTATTATATAATTGGCAAAATTCATGTTTCGATTACAATACACAATGGCTTTATTGGAATAACACCATCCCTGGGACAAAAATTGCTACGCCAATGACACACATCTTTACCGCAGTTCAGAGCTACATCATCATTTCATTAAAACCAGCTCTAAATCATTCCTACCATAATTTAATCATGGCAGAAATTCCTGTTGACCCTCAAAGTGTTACGGACTGCGATGACTGGATTCCTCGAGAGTGGGGCTACTTCATATGCATCGTAAATAGAATGGTAATCCATGAATTGCCTTCTGGTTCCATTTTATTAGACAGAGGCAATAACACCGTGTTTGGAATAGGCAGTTTCCTGTTGAAAAGAAATCGCCAAGAAATTTTAGTTTTCACTGACGTAAGGCCTTATAGAAACCAATTATTGCAAGCTTGTTCCACATTGGAATTCGAAGACACTCCACACAAGGACATGTGGTGGTGATCTAAAGTAATTTCAGATGAAAGATGTTCGAACTGTCCGAATCACCGAATATCGTCTGATGTTGCCTTATGAAGAGACAAATTACTTTAATATTCACGTCAGTTTTAATTATTAAATACTTAATAAAATGTTTTTTTTTTTATTAAACGTTGCCTCACGCCAGAAGTTTCTCCTGTGTTGTCAAAAGGTTCATAAACATAAATGTGAGAGAGCCATGCTTCGGCACGAATGGGTCGGCTCGACCGTAAATGATGCGGCCTCGCAGAAAAATGGCGTGAAACAACCACAGCGTTGTGTTTCGCCGTGTGAGTGAGTTTACCGGAGGCCCAATCCTTCCCTTACCCCAATTCCTCCCCAACCTTAAAATCTCCTAATCCCTAATCCCCAAAAGGTCGACACAACACGTCACAATACGCCGCGCCAACAATGTAATCAAGTTGGTCAGCCTGCTCTAATTGTATGTGGCATTTTGGAGATCGCGCGCATCATTGTTAGCACAATAAACGAAGGTGAAAAGAGGAAATATCAGCTTTTCCCATTAAGGACTATATGTGATAGCAGAAGGGCGGTAAAATGATACGCGTGTTCTTGGTTTGATGTTTACAGGACGACTGACTGACTCCAGTGAACTTTTAGGATCATTCGTGCTATGCAATCGCTGAGGTATCATCATCAACCTATAAGTGCCCACTGCTGAGTCACCCACTAAATCACCAATTATCTATCTGTAAAGTTCTGATCCATCCAAATTAATGAAGTTGAAACACCAAGCGTCTGCTAATAATTATTGGAAAGTTTCTTCGGCTGTTTTTTGTTCCATCATCAGACCTACCCCAGACCTTCATCAAATGGTACTTAGTCCTTATAAATACTATTGAAATGAAAAATCTTGCAAACGTACTAGATTCCCCTACATTTTTTAAAGTTCCCCTCGTTTTTCTGCTCTACCATCAACAAACCATGGTTTCCTCACCATTATGAAACCAACTTTGAAGGAAATATCTACTTTCCAAATAAACAAGAATCATCAAAATCTGTTCAGAAACGACGAAATATATAAAAGCATATATACGGTCCAATTGAGAAACTAGCTACTTCTGGAAGTCGGTTTAAAAAGAAGTACTATCGTTACCTTTAAAGTACATCAAAGTCTTTCAAAAATTCAATTTAATAGCGAAAGCCTTATAAAAGTATTGGTAGGTACTGGTCTCCAGTTACAAATGAGTTGAAAACCAATATTTTCTCGTTGCAAAACTCTCTTCGAAACTTTGTATGATTTCTGCAGACCTGAGTACCTGCCTTTTCATATTACTCGTATGTTTTTAAATGTGTGTAGTAATTTTTTTTTTATTCGGATTTAGTTCCGAAATAGATACTGAGAATTCATCGATATAACTATGTCAACACGAGGGGGAAAAACAAATATGTTGTGCCTGCCTCCAGGCTTCAGAAAATAAGTAGTTCGTTTAGGTGTCAATGTATACGCTTTTACAATAAAATTCTTAGCGATATTCAAAATTTGAGCCTCAATAAATTTAAAAGTGTAATAAAGGCTAAACTTTAATAGTAGGTATATACAATCAATCACATAATGATCTTACAATAAGACACAGTCGCAATCTTCGCGTCGGCTCGTAAGCCAGCGACAGATATTTCCGACCAATTTCCTCTCTCTCCATGATTTGTAAAATGAGATGTATTTCGTAACGTTGCCGCGTTGTGTACGTCAACTGCGGCGCCTCCAGTTGTAATTTCTCAAAAAAGTTAAAAGAAAATAAGAACAATTTAGTTTTGAAAAAAAATACACACATACCTACTTAAAATTAATCCAAAACTAATTTTTATATAAAATTGCTGTCATAAATGAAATAACACTTTTTATTATTATTATTATTTTATTCCATGTAGGTATTGTACGTGATTTGATGAAAATTAGAAAATTAGCACCTAGCTTACGTACTCCACCGGATATTGGGTCGCAACCCGTAACCGGAAGACATGAGCTTGAATTTAGAACTAAGGGATACGCCACGGCTTACGACGGGAAGTTGACTCAAATATGAAGGTTTTACTTTTTTTGTCTATTTTATTGTATTTAAACCAGCCTGTCCCTTCTCCTGCTTCAGGCTGGATACCCGCGCAGTGTTCCGCAAGCACCTCAAAGACCCAGTACCACCACAGACGGGGCCTAGCAGGGCTTTGATGACTAATAAGCGCGGGTCCACGGACGGCGAGCGAGTGTGACCGCCGCTCGATCAGGAAGAGACTCAAGCGACTCATATGTATAAGTATTTTGTTAAATGGTACCTAAAAATCTAAGAATACAGTTAAGGTTTACCTCTGTTATGGATAACCTATAAGATTTGTGGCTATCAATAAGGTTGCGAAATAAAAAATTAACAATTCGTCCTTTCTCGTTTGTTTTTCTCCGGTCAGTGACACGTCGGGTAATTTTTCACGCCACAATAATATATCGCCGCTAGCTGCTTACAACTTGCACAAAAATAAGCAGCCGTAGGCACTGCTCAGCTCGACAAAGATCAATAATACTCTTATATGGTCTTGACACTGTGGAATAGGACATCAGGTCAATGGACAGTAAAATAAAAAGATCAATACCACGTAACTACACTTTATTCACAATTGTCCATACTAATATTATAAAGAGGCAAATCTTGTAAGTTTGTATGTAGAGGTCATCTTTGTAACCGCTGATCGGATTGCCAATTTTTTTTATTAATAGCTACATTGTACCTGAGTGCTGTAGGCTATAAAACATCATGCTACGATCAAATGGAGCCGAGCAGCTGGTGAAACCGCGCAAGAGTAGGTAGTTGGCAATAAAAATAGAACATTTAGGTGGTGGAATTACTTCTCACACCCTTGGTGGGGCGAGATGGTTCCTTCTAGTATCCATCCATCCAGACCGAAGCCGCGGTATATTATTACGTTGGATCCGCAATCCCAAAGGATCATTAGCCCTATTGGGCCCGTTCTATGATGGTCTGTTGACACTTTGAGGGGCACAGAATGCTACGCGCCATAAGCTCGGGTTTAGTACTGGCCGGGCGGCAACCAGAACCAGACCCCATCACCACAGACGATGCCCTATAGGGCTTATATTCAGCCAGGGTTGGGGGGCAAGCACAATAAGGCAACGCACCCTCGGCCTTGAGCAGGAGAATGAACTGGGGGTTTTTAGTCAGGAAGAGTCTGTCCTCTCGCCTCAACCTGAGCAGAAAAGTAATTGATGACTGAAAAGTCATCAAATAAAAGATGAATGAACGGAATGAACCTTCTTCACAAATTTTTATACAATAAACGGTCTGCCAACACAAAAGCGTATCTTCGAACGCAATGGACAATAGACTGAGCCGGCATTAAAAATGAATCAAACGGGAATATTTTATGTAACTTTGGTATATTCAAGATCTCTTTTCTTATTGTATCTATACTTAGGTAGTAGATCTTTGAATGCGTATTAAGTTTATCTCAAGATCTTTTGGCCATTCTGTCCTTAAGTCGAGGGGATAGAAGTGTGACTTGGTCGACGGGCTCGACTTGTGTGACGAATTATTTATCAATATTTTTTTTCAGGGGATTAGTTCGATAAACAAGTTGGCGGATCATCTTTTGGAAAGTAGAGACAAGCTTCGGTACGAATGGGTCGGCTCGACCGGAGTGATACCACGGCCTCACAGAAAACCGGCGTGAAACAACCAGAGATTTGTGTTTCGCCGTGTGAATGAGGTTACCGGAAGTCCAATCCTTCCCCTTCCCCAATCCCTCCCCAGTTCCTTAATCTCCAAATCCCTAATCCCTTAAAGGTCGGCAACGCTTGTAACTCCTTCGTTGCGGGTGTCCATGAGCGGCGCTGATTGCTTACCGTCAGGTAATCCGTAAGCTCGTTTGCCGACCTATTACATTAAAAAAATTTAAGAAATATACATAATAATCATCCGCTAGGTGGCGCTTTCTAACCAACATATGACTAAAAGTGCTCCGTGTTTAAAATTAATTAAAAAATGTTTAATGACCAATTTACGTATCAAGTTTACTATAGAATCAACAAAATAAAAATAAAAAAATCGTTGAGTATCTAGCCGACACGTTATCGTTGGTTATAAAGGTTCCGGTGCAGGTAAACGGCGAGGGTTTTCCATCAAGGGGATCGTGATCCTTATTTTAATTATCTACAGAAAGTGTCATGCTAGTCATGCCCGTAGTTTGAATAACAATTGAAGAAAGGCTTGGTACAGTGTGCTTTTAATTTAAAAGCACACTGTACCAAGTCTTAGAATAAGTTGTTGGCGTCGTGGCTGGTCAACTGGCTACCTCGCAACGTGTCGTCTGTCGGATTCTCGCACGGAACAACATCTCAACTCTATCTGGGATCATTACACTTTGTGTTTTTCTTCTTTCTTTCGGTCTGTGAGTAACATGTACCTATGTGAAATTGTATGTTTGTAAACATACCTACAATACAGGCAGACGGGGCCCTAAAGAGCTGATGTTCAGCCGGAGTTGCGGGGTAAGCGTAATGAGGCACCGCGACCTCGGCCCAGAGCAGGAGAAGGAACAGGTTTTTAGTCAGTAAGAGTCTGACACACTTTCCCACACACACAGTAAGAGTTTGACGGCCGGCCCTGGGCGGGAGAAGTCATTAGGCGAAACAAAAAAATAAGTTAGGGGAAGCTTCTTTTTCTAGCAATTTATTTTTGACAGACATTCAATTTCAGTACCGGTTTTCAAAGTTGGTAGATTATTTTTAATGTAGCCACTACTTTTTTACTTGCATACAAAACAACAATGCTTTTCAAAGTGAGGGTAGGGATAAATTCAAATAAATTGTACCTAGTGATACTGTTACCCCTTAGAGAATACAGCCAATTCACAAAAATAGGTAAAGAAAAACCTACCCTAATTTATTTTCGAGAATCACCAGAAAAGGATGAAAGAAATCAACCGTAGGTAACAATATAAAATACGTAAGTAATAACAATAGAGTAACAAGTTTGCACAATAAGGCCGCGCTCGGGCAACAAAAGGGTTTGATTTCAATTGACCAGCAGCACGGCCTATAATCGAGGCTAGGTCACGTACGCGGACAATAGTGCCATTCCATTTCACTATCGATAGCAACTGCTACTGTATAACTTCTATTGGGAACCTGCAGTTCAGTTTTATGACGGTGTTAAGGAGGAACTTTGTAATAAGGTACCTACCTACATAGTTTTGATACTTTCTTGTTAGTTTTTTTAAAATAGGTCGTCAAACGTTCTGACGGATTACCTAATATAAATGGAGTTATTACAAGTGCGTTGCCTGGCAGCCTCTTGTAAGTTATTAGGGATTTAAGGATAGAGTATTTGAGGACTGAGGATGGGGCGGAGGGGGGGGGGGGGAGGATTAGGCCTCCAGTAACCTCACTCACACGACAAAACAGCGTAAGTGTTGCTAGGTGTTGCTTCACCCCGGTTTTTCATACGCAGGAGACAAGCACCACGAATTTTACAATATTGGCCAGTCTGTCTGTGTGTCTGTCTGCAGGTCTTGAATTAATAAACCGATTTGGTTATGGAGTTATATTTGAATTCTAAATATTTTTTCTGGTTTTGCTGTTGTCGGAGACAAATTAAGGTAAGTGTGGGAGAGCCATGCTTCGGCATGAATGGGTCGGTCGGCTCGACCCATGTGGTACCACGGCATCACAAGAAAAACAGCATAATCTATTTTTGTGTTTCTGATCATAACCCCTTGCTATTATAGCTTTTGCGCCTGCCATGGCCTGTCTCTGTATCACCCTAAAGTAGACTGGTAGAAAATGCCTTTGGCATTAACTCCGCCATTGTGCAGCAATTGTGCAAAAGTATTTAAATAAATAAAAACCTGCTGAAGCACAACGTTGCATTTCTTCGTATGAGCCAAATTACCGGAGACTCGAAGGAAACTTTCGATTATTTTGTCCTCTAAAACGAATCTTAATCTAGATAAAAAAAACAAGAATGTATACCAATCACTATTTTATTTATTTATGTATCAAAAACAATAAAATCAATTAAATACGTAAGTTTAAAATACAAATATGAATACAAAAATATTATTATTTAAGAGGTGTCTCCTTAAACTAATGGCACAACTAAATATACATAAAGTCAAATGTGCTGATAAAATAATATTATAACTTTGGACGGATACAAGTGGCTAGAATAAAAATAAATGTTTTTTTTTAATATGGTTTAGTTCGACGAACGAGCGTACTGATCCACTGATTCTTATGACTTATTCTGCCGGTCTTTTACGACTTGTTAAGGGATTTGCCGATTGGAGATTTGGGTATAAGGGGAGGAGAAAGTATTGACTATTTAGCGAAATACTGTGTTCGCCCGGATATACACACCATCTTGGAAAAAGACGGACCTCTGAGCTTGTTTTGGCATTTCTTCTCATAGTAGTCAGATAGAAAATGCCGGCTTCATCTAGTTTTTTTTTTTACATAATGTTGACGTGTAAAACTGCTGTTTTATGGCCTATTTACAAGAATAAATTCATTGTTTCATCTAAATGTAGCCTAGGCCTTTGAAATCTTGTGCTTTTAGCTGTATTTTAAAGACACGAATCATGGCAAGGCTTTTTCGTGGTGGAAGTCACATGGGAATTACAAGATACTAACACAAACTTGGTAGTATTACATACTTTTTCTTTCCTTTCAAGGGATCACAGGATCCCGGAACTTTGGAAGGCGTACGAGGGGCCAAAGCCAACTCGCAGAGGCTGGTTGAACAGTTTTAATCTAACTGTGATGGGACATTATCCTTGTTATTAATATTATCATCACTTAGCTATAGTCATAATCTCGTGAAAACTTAAATTAACGTTAGGAAGTATAGGTAAAGCAGTTTGTTTTCATTTTGGCTTTCAAAGGTGCCTATAGTTGTTTATTTGAAATTAATCATTTGACTATGACTTTGGCTCTGACAGTAAAAAAGGCCGAGTTCAGAGGCATTTCGACACATATGTCTTTAAAACCTACAGATTAATTTAAGTCTTCTAATAAGCTGTAAATGTTGTCAGACGATATTAGTTTTTAAACTAAACATTTTTAAAGATCACTTTTGCAGAACAAGACTAAGTTCTTATTTTAAGTACCTATGTTAAGTAGGTACATTGGACGGAATGAGTTTAGAACAGGAGTTCTTTTTATTAACATTAGGTATAATAATAATAAAGAATGTACAATCGACGAATTAAAATCGTTACCCACTTGGACAAATAAATCGTTTGAAATTGGATAACGATTTAATGTTGAGACAATTTGATGTGACTTTATAAAAAAAATTAAGTATTTAAAATTTGTCGATTGTACAATTATAAATTAATTATTTAATAAAATATAATAAACATGGACGGAGTTAATCACGACTTAAAGTTAACCAACAAAACTTACACTAACATTCAGCCTTCTTACATCTTAAAATAATAAGATAAATATAACATCATTACCATTTCATACTTTATCTTTAAGTATATAAAGCTCAATATGTATTTTATTTCTTTATTTGAAATTAATATGAGGTTCTATATAAAAAAATATTTTAATTAAATGTTATTCAATATTCGTGTCCGTTCACGTTTCCATTTTATACTTTATGTTTAAGAAAATAAAGCTCAATATGAAATTTATTTACTTTTCATTTATTTATTTGAGATGAAAATAAAGTTCTAAGTATATCAAACTTTATTCAATTTGTTCCAATATTAAAATTGATTGAAAAGAGTAACCATCGAATTTATTGGTCGTTCTTCTCCATTGGAATCTACAGTTTAGAACGAGCAAATAGCTTCACTTGAGGACACACCGACATTTTTTGTTTGACGTTCAAAAATGATTTATATTGTTCTATTTGAAATCAATTATTTGGTTTAGACTTTGACTTTGAGGACGATTACATAGTAATATATTTGTGACAGTGAGACACAAAACTAATTAACTAAATATGTAATAAAAAAATAATGTCGTATTCAAATTAATCGCACCCAGGGTACAGGCCACTACAGGCAATTTTTTTATGATAAAGTACCTTCAGTACTTGTCTTAACATTTTAATGATACCAAAAGAGTCTATTTTTGGAATAGCAACTATCGTGAGATACTAAATAAATTGAAAATTACTCACGTGAATCGACTGATAAGAGCTCTACTAGTTTCGAGTCACAACGGGACAGTTATTCACGAGCAGCGTCACTTCGCTTTAACTAGGAGAGCTTTTCTCGGTTGATTCATGTGAGTAAGTCGTTATCTAAGCGCATGACTCAACAACGCCTGGACCAATTTTGTCAATTGGGTAGTTTCCTAGATCAAAAATAAATTAATTTGATGTTTCAATACAATAAAATATTGAAAAATAACTATACTTTCATTCATCGATACACTAAGTTTTAGATATTTTTTAGCAAATTTTTAAGAAATAAGTAAGCTATTTGACTAACAAATTATATGACGTCATAATTCAGTATTTGATGCAAAATTTAATAGAAAAGTATCGTTTTTGACATTTGGATAAATTTTATTTTTTATTTATTTATTTATTTATTTAAGTCAGGCATCTGCGGCCCATAGAGAATACAATACATAAATATATTATAACATTAAATCATAAACTAATACATATGTTACATAGATAACTTAAAAACTAATGCACACGTAGTGTCGGCGTCGTGTTACGCTGCGTGGTGTCGCGTAGCCATCCTCGGAACCTCCGATATACGACACCCTTCGGCCAAAACTCTTCCTTGAGGAATGTCTCCAAGTGATGAGTTGGAACTCGCACCATGAACGAATTAAAGTTCGTATTGTAAAGTATTGAATTTGACTTGTTGGAAACTACCGTAAGTATTTTTTTTTTTTTGTTTGTGGTTGTCAGGAGAAGGTAGAGAAGGAATGCATGAAAATTTTTGAAAAGTAGGGGCAAGATTTGCAAAAATTTACTATTTGCTAGCGAGATAGTTGGAAATTCATGCGAAGCAGGGGCGGGCAGCTAGATTTCAATTAACTAAAAGACTTGAGAAAACAAAGAAGTCGAGAATTCATCATCCAAAAAAACAAAATTGTACATATTTCATAGTATTCGATCAAATCAGGATAATCTTTCCATTCGATATTTTCTTTAGTTATGTATTCTCAAATACAAATTCAATGTGATCAATGTATTGATTGTACCTATGGTGTATTTCAGATATCTGTGATAGATTTTCGACCTTAAATCCAAACAACAAAGTTGTAAATAACTTTGTCAGATGTGATTTGACATATAATGGTGTGTTAATAATAATAATATGGTTTAATACAACATGATGGCGCCGTTGACCTTTTCTTCTAAGGCTGGCGCTATGGTGTCCATGTCTCGGCCATCCGCCATAGCAATCAGTATACAAACATCATTCACAAATGCTGTTATACTAGCTGCTACCACCAACCTGGAAATGAAAATAATTTATAAATAATTAACTGAATGTCCTATTGATCACAATGATTGAACAAATTGATAATTGATAAAGAGATGGACCTCTGAGTTCGTGTCTTTTTTTAGGGGACAGGTCGGTAAATGAGTAGTCGGATTACCTGATGGAAAGCAATCGGCGCCGCCAATTAATACCCGAAATACTAAAGGAGTTACGAGTGCGTTTTGGTTTCATCTGAGCAAAGGCCTCTTCTCATACGAAGAAGGTAAGAGCATTAATCACCACGCTTACTCAATGCAGGTTGGCGATTTCAAACTTATTATTAAAAAATATAAGTCCAGGTTTCCTCACGATGTTTGCCTTCACCGTATATCAGTGGTTTCTAAATAATCATAGAAAGTACTTATAACTCGGAAAAAGTCACTATTGTACTTGCCAGGTCTCGAACCCACATCCTCATGCATGAGAAGCGGGCTCCATAACCTCCGGGCCACCGCGAAATGGCCGGCGGGCCACACGATGTTTGTGTGAAATTGCATATTTATAAACGCACCCACGACATAGGAGAAAATACTAGAGTGGGCAAAGTTTATTTTAAAAAAGGCAGTGCAAAAGCGTCCTATTCAGTAAAAAACTAAACTATTCTCACCAGAAGGACAGGCCAAGGTCAGCGGTATCGTCAGAAGACCATCTGTTGGCCAGGTCTTCGTCCGACATGACGTTATGCTGCAGTCTTAGGAAGTATTCCGTCAGCCAAACTGCTATCGCACCGAGGCTGAATAGCACTGAAATTGGAGAAAAATGAAATCAGTCAAATTAATGTGGGTAAAATTACGAAATAATCCTTTTCTTGGACCCAAGAAAAGGATTATTTCGTAATTTTATATAAATCGACCTATTGTTACATAGGGTTTCGTTTCGTTAGCCGTTTTCGGAAGAGTAAAGTGACTTACATTGTGACACAAGGTTTTGTATAATAATATTAGCGGACTCTCTCCGAAAACCCCCACATATCAAATTTCAACGGAATCGTTAGGGCCGTTTCCGAGATCACATGCTTTTTCAAGCAATCAGCGCTACATACCGGACACACATTTGTGAATCTAAACCATCCAGGGCGCAACTAAAACGCATACAGAAAATCCATTTAAATCGGCCAAGCCGTTTAGGAGGAGTTCAATTAACTTCAATTCAATTACATGTACACGTACAGCAGAATTACATATAGGTATATATACAAAGATAAGATTTCTGTTTCCCGTAACATAAAACATGATAATAATAACAGACACAACATTTTTATTAAAAATGTAACATAATGCCGACTACAATATTACCTGCTAAAGAATTACTGATGAGTAAAGGTTTGGGGGAACAACGCGCCCGCGCAGCTGAACCCAACGCGGCTAGTACGCATGCGCCACCCGCAGATAGCACGGAGGCCGCCAATAACGCGGCAGTACCGCACCACGCCCATCTCCGAGCGGGATGTGTACCGGCTTTCACTGAAACACGCGTATAATAAAAATTAATTGATTGTAAATATAAATCAGAGTGGAAGAGCCAAGCTTCGGTACGAATTGGTCGGCTCGACCGGAGTAATGCCACGGGCCACGGCCTCCCAGAAAACCTGCTAGAAATAATCAAAACGTTGTGTTTCGCCGTGCTAGTAAGGTTTCCGGAGACCCAATGCCAATCACCAAATAACCGAAAACCAACAACTCACTCGTAGGTAACTGCTTTGGTACTGCCTTATCGCCGATTGCCTACCATCAGGTAATACGTCTGCCCGTTTGCCGACGTACCCCATAAATAAAATCCGCAATGTGCAGTGCAATACGACCAACCACAAAGTGGATAGACGACCTAATAAAAGACTCAGGGTGCCAATGGATGCAGGCCACGTTCAATCGGTCAATTTGGAATTTTAAAGTTATTTAGGGGAGGTCTATGTTGTAATTCATTGTAATAGCTGATTTGACCATTCTTGTGATAAAATAATTTTTGGTTTTTTTTTTGTAAGTTTAATCGGTGGTTAATTTTACTACAAAGTGGGCAGCACTCATGTGAATTAGTCAATATTTTGCAAAGAACATTTAATAATATTGGGATTTCCATATATAAAAAGCGGGCGAACGCAACCAGCAACAGTCGTGCGTTATCATGCTCGAGGTTATTGAAGGTACTATACGCCTTAATAAAGATCTTTTTCAAAAAACAATTTTAACAATAATTCGCTAAAAGGGCGTAAAAAGACTAAAAGAGGATAACAAAATCATAATGTGTGTGTGTTTAGTCATCACATGACCATCAAAGTATGATATTGATGTAATTTCTAATTGGCGGTTTTCATTCGATGTTTTCAAAATTAGTTTAAAATGGGTTAATGTTTCTGAGGAACCACCGCGGAAATAAGTGTTATAATTGTGCGAAATTGGAAGATGCATATGCTACTTGTTAATTTGATCAATAAAATTGTTCTTACCGCTAAAATCGTAAATCCTCCAGCCATACGCAGGGTTCAGTTCTTTCCGACCTTCGAAAAGTCCGAAACTGATCCTCCCTTCAGATTCCAACAGATTTGATGTCTTTCGGGCACGCGCATCAATCCAATGCGTAGTCCCCAAAGACGCCACAATCAAGGCAATACACAAACACGAACCGAAAAACGTCGCAAAAATCATAGAACGCTTAAACAAATTCAACTTCATTTTGATCTTTTTTCACTTTCACTGTCTACGTAGTTCGTACATTAGCGGCTAGATGGCGTTATGTCACATTATTTTTCTTCACAGGTGTGTCGCTAATTGGTTTGTTTTTATAATGTTTTCTAGCTATTCAAGTTGTGGGATTGGCTCTGTGACACGTCCATTGTTAGAGCTATACCGTGCTATCATAACAGTTTCCCTTCGTATCTCCGCTGGAGAAGAAAATCTGAAACAATAAAAGAAAATTGCTTATTATACATATACTTAGGTATATTCATTGAATGATAGATTGGATTACACTTGAGTGGCTGTTAAAGTTACGTAATATAATAGAAAGGAGGAGTAACAAAATATCTTATTTACTAATTAGGTGCCTATTACAATAATACAAACCAAAATAACAGTGAACATTTTGAAAGCTTACTAACATTTATTTATCTTGAGTACATTTAGGATATCAACGTAAAAAGAAGAGTTTAAAAAAGGGTACGGCGCTTTTTTAAACTTTGCTTTTTCCGTAATGAATAAAAATAATTGCAAGATACTTTCGAACAATTTATGAGTAAATTTTTGTATCCGTGTTTATCGAATGCTTCCATCGGAAGCAATAAGTAATTCTGATACAAGTAACACCTCCTTTTTGCCTTTCTAAAGGAAGTGTTCAATAAATCGAAAACATTTTCAATAAACGCTTATGGAGCCAGTTTCCCATTTCACTAAGAGACACAAAATGCTACACTAAGAGGCAAGGCTCGGATACCGGTTAAATTTTCTAACCGTTATTATGTACTTGACGCAAAACCTTTACATTTTGGTTTCGTTCTTATATACCGGTTTTTTTAAACCGTTATTTGGAAGAGCATTAATATAAAGGTTTTTTCGAATTAAACGGTTAAGAGCAATAAAAACCGGTTAATATGGACGCACTGTAAAGAAATGCCGCGTACTGTTTAGATTTTATTCAATAGTAAGATTTTTTTGTTTCGGATCGGACGTTTGTGTCATTGCATCAATAAGCTCCGCAGCAAAAACATTAAAAAATGAGTAAGTATCTAATTTTTTTTTCGTGAAGTTAAGCTGATAATGACCAAACTAATCGGTAAACAAAATATTTCGAATGACAAGAAATATCGCTAGTACCTACGTCTTCATACCTCGCCGCTATGCGCGGCAGCGCGGTATTCGTACAAGTTGCAACGCGTTTAGCGACGTCGTACGTCTATAAACCGGTTTATTTAGATTAAAATAAAGTTCTTAAAACGTTTACGTTCTTAAGAAAAGTTCGGAGATAAACCGAAATAAACCGGTATTAACCGGTATTTTTTAAACCGGTTCCGAGCCTTGCTAAGAGGAAAGACCGACAGACTGACAATTTATATCTTTAAAAATTTTGTTTGAAGTCCAAAAGTGCATAATTGAAATAACTGATTTTGACTTTGTTTTTTATACTTAACTATGAAAATCTACTAATACTGTCAATCAGAACATTCATGTATCAATGCCCCGGCCTAAAGCATGAGAAGAAACTGGCTGGTTTTTAGTCAATACGAAACTGACACTCCCTTTCGCCCTTTCCAGAGCGTGAGGCGTCAGTTGATGATTTTCTATCATCACAAGTGCTAAACAGTGACAATTGGACTTAAATTTAAAAACGCTAAGGTAGCCGGTTACCATAGCGTTAAATCATTTAAAATCCCGGGGTTACTCCTTATTTTTAATTAAAGAAACAATAGAAGAACAATAGGTGCGCGAACACCTGCGTTTGTTGGTGAAAGTGTTTAACAATCAAAATTTTTTTAAACAAAATCTGGATTTTAACACATATTGCCATTTTTTGCACCTCATAAAGAATCTATCTGCGACGGTCGTAAACGCAGAGATACACTATACTATATACACATATCATAGGGAAGCGACCATCTTTCTTCGCAATTTATTACATAACATAACATAAATATGTTAATTATCTCATACATAACAAAGCTACTGTACAACCTTCCATTGAAACGGAACCTTAATCGTGGTCTCACGATCTAATATCGCATGTCCGGGTCTGATCTGGTGTCATTAATGCGGTTGAAAACAATTTGAGACGAAACTTTCGTTTTATAATCGTATTTATACGCTCTGTTAGGTTTGAAGTTAAATAATAAAGGTTACTTTGATAATAAATTTGCTAGTTTTTGTACAGCAATCAATTTGTTGGGAATAAAAGCTTTAGGTACATGTTTCGCCGCTGGGGTTGCGGATGGAACCGATAGAATGAATTGCAGCCTTGGCCCGAGAATTGGAGAAATAATGGGGTGGTTTTTAGTCATTAAAACGCCCCGCCATAGCCGAGAGAAGCCGTTTGGTGATTTATCCTCTAAAAAAAAGTAAAATCTTTTTGCAATTGCAAATTTCAAAAAGCAATTATATCGAAAAGGATGGTGATAATAAAACGTTAAATATATATGTGTTCACACAACCATTAAAATCATCAAAATACTTCGATATTTAAATTTCACAATGTTGGTTTTGTTTTTATTATTATTTTCTTTGGACATTTCGATAAACTCATCAATTTAGTGGTGAGTCATAGAGAAAAAGTACCTCGTTTCCCGATAATTGCCATCATTATCATCATAGCAAACATTCTTTAAGGCAAGTTAATGACTGCTTTTGATATGTTTATTGCAGAAAAGTGACCGAAAATAGAATTTTAAACTTTCAATCGTGGTAATTCGAGACACAATAGTAAGACAATAAGAGCGCAAACGCGCGTTCGCCTGGGATTTGATGAATAAAATATAAATGTCGATTTAAGTAAGAACTGCAATAAATATACGTTACATTTCAAAGTACCAAAAAAAATATATATTCGACTGAACGACTGCAAATTTGCTTTACGTTGACGCGATCCGAACGTTACTGCATTTAGCTCTCTGATTGGTTGATTGACATGGAGCAGGCCAATCAGAGCGCCGAACGTCATAAGCTTCTCGATCGCCTTAACGTAAGGCAAACTAGCACTAGGCTCTAACGAAAAGATTATTATGGTAACCAGTGATGCTGTCATCGGTGGCATCATGGCAATCATTTTGTGCAGACATTCTGACAACATTATTATGCAGATAAGGAAAGCCTTGTCATCACATTTATGGTCTAGTGGTCTTCAGACATATCATTAGGTACATTATTACTATATCTTATTTCTTTTCATGGCTCGTCTTATTAGAATATTTGATACTGAAAGTATATGAGACAAGATACTTGGGACAATAATTGTCAAAAAAAATTGGTTATTTATCCTTTATATTGTAGTCGCAAAGATTGCTAAAGAACGTACAAAAGACAGGTCAAAATCTAATCCGCGAATGCAGTGGATTAATGAATCTCATCCATTACTTTTTACAGGATGGGTCGGCGAACGAGCTGTAGGATTACCAGCCTGATGGCAAGAAGCAATCTGCGCCACCCATGGACTCCCGCAACACAAAAAAGTTACGAGGGTGTTGCTGGCGTTTTAACCATAAGGGTTTCGGATATTCTTCTTCTTCGGATAGTCTCGGGACGGGGAGAATGGGAGGGATTGGCCTTCCGTAACCTGACTCAAACGGCGAAACACCCCATTCGTCAACGGCCCCATTCGTGAAGAATCTTGGCCTTCGCACACTTACTTTACTTTTGAGACGGACCCAAAAGAAATTAAGCAATGCTAATATCATAACATTTATATGCCTAAATTATTACCGAGGACCTAACGATCTGTGCACAGGTGCAAAAATACACAGACTCAATAAAAACATATCAACTTTGATTTATACAATTATATCTAGACTCATATTCTGCCATTTGCATTCAAGGTCAACATGACGTAAGTTTACGTAACATATTATAAAAACGTGTTAATATTCATATTATAGAAATAGGAATATGTGAGCGGTTAGTACGAAAACATCATCAATGTAATTTTTTGCGATATGTTAGTCTGCGGTTAGTTAGTTCCGAACTGGAAAGTACGTAATTGGGCAGGCAGTTGGTGGATTTTAGTTAGTAAGTCTCTTGCACTCCGCCAAGAGGCAGGTGATTTTCCAATCATTTGATGATTTTCTAACTATTAATAAAACCTTGGATTTGTAGCTTTGTTAATGTTGCTCGTAAGTGCCTACTGCTGAGCAAAGGCCTTTTCTCACACGGAGAAGGTTTGAACATAAGCCACCACGCTTGCTCAAGGCCGGTTAGCGATTTCAAACTTAGTATAAGAAACTACAAGTCCAGGTTTCCTCACGATGTTTAATATAATGTAAGGAAAGAGTATTGATATTAGCAATTTTAGAGCATTCTAATAAATACTTCATTGTATTCTTAAATCAAAAAACCTTCATCAATCTGCCTTAAATGAACCTAGCACATACCCAGATTGAATCACCCTATTCCAACTTCTGGTCTATGCCAGGGCAATGATGGTGGCCATATGACCTCGGAAGAAAAAACTGAGATGCTACATGCGGCCCTTTAAAAGAGTATCTTGACTAACTCGTCAATCGGCCTACTTAAACGGTGAAAATAGACCAGAGTATTGCATTTCATATTAATATTCAGTAACCATAAATAAAAATATCACTTCATCGCCACCGTCACCTACATGTCAATACAATTTCAAACGCATAAAATAACAATTTACAACAGGCTCATTGTTCCATTGCATTTCCAATTCATTCCACATTCAGAACATCAATGCCCAAATATAATCACCATTCACACGGCATCTATAAATTCTTGTTCGATTTCACAACAATTGAGGGATCACCGTTTGGACTACTTTCTATAGATATCAAACTATGATACAGTACCTATGTAGTATTTTATGGAATGGGTTGGCCAGCATGCACACGGATCACCATATGGCAATCAATCCGAACTGTTTACGGAAACCCAATGCACCAAAGGAGATAAAAAGCCTGGTCTCATATTTCCTTAATTGCAAAATAAAAATCAATTGTTATTTGGCGGTTTTTAGGAACTTGGAAACTGGCGTGAGGGTTCGTTTCATTGGACTGCGGTTGCCATAAACGCGAAAAAAAACGCAAACATTGTTTGTTTTCTGTTAGGCTGTGCGATTAACGCGCAACTTTCTGCCCCGCACAGCAAAATTTTGAAATGATCTTCCGGCGGCGGTATTCCCGAACCGATACGACCTTTAAACGACGAAGAAACGATTTTACTCTTTTTTAAAAAGTCGGC